ACAATTCGGATAGCGAACAAAGTCTTGGAACGGATTATGTTCGTTAACCGATCACCCACTGTACAGCTAATAGAAATCAAAATTAAAAGTAGAGAAATAAAAACTAAAAAGAAGGTTAAAGAAAATAAATATTAAAGCAATGCTATTANATTGGTTAACGAACAATTCGGATAGCGAACAAAGTCTTGGAACGGATTATGTTCGTTAACCGATCACCCACTGTACAGCTAATAGAAATCAAAATTAAAAGTAGAGAAATAAAAACTAAAAAGAAGGTTAAAGAAAATAAATATTAAAGCAATGCTATTAACAAAATATTACATTGCCATTTTTCACATATCACAAAAATGCTAATAAACAGATTCTAAATCATGGGAAGAAAGGTAAATTTTGTCAATAGATTCTACAAGTCATTTTAAAAAAATGTTATCAATAATTCTTCTTACAAATAGGATATATTACACTAAAACTATGCTATCTGTAAGAATTATGTGGATGTCTTCCCCTTCCTCCTTCTCTGACTTAAAATTGTCAGATTCATTCATCTGGATTTGCCCAAAGAGTACTCCTATGTCAGACAAAACTAAATTAAAGAAATATATTCTTTGTCTTGAAAAATGGCTTTTTAATTTTTCTTTGGCAAAAGTTTGATGATGTAATGTCTCACATCATTCACTATGGCAAAGATAAAAACTTTGATGTTATGGTATACTATATCTTATAATCTAACTATATAAAGCTGAAAAACTGGATTCTTTCTTTCTTTCTGTCACTGTATGCGAAAAATGACCACTAGGAGTGCCCCTAGCTATCATTTAAATTAGCAATAAATTCAGTATATTATTATTTGATGTGGTTTTTTGCATTTTTGGCTGCATTTTAGGGTATGCCATGAGAAATTATGTATATTATTTTTATTTGTAATAGGAATTTATTATTTATGACACCGAATTAACAGAATGACACTGTTGCTGCTAGAACACCCACTATGGGGTGTCCCGGGCTACTAGAACAGAAGGATTAGAAGTACAAAATAGCAAGGGTGAGGCCGAAGTTTTAAATGCAAAAATGTGTACATTGGACGTTCAGTGCCGCTTTCCTGTAAGCCTAGGAGTTTGACAATGGTGTTCGGATAGTCAGTGGAATCATGCTCGACATTCCAAACACCATTGTCAAACTTCTAGGCTTACAGGAAAGTGGTGCTGAACGTCCAACGTACACATTTTTGCATTTAAAACTTCAGCCTCAGCCTCGCTATTAATCTAATAATCTTAATCTTTGTTGTTGTTTTTTGCCCAGGCAACACCAGGCTCATCTGCTGGTGTTTAATATTTTGGGTTACAGATTAATGAACAGTCATTAAATACCCATTTTGCTTGTTGCTTTAAGTGTAGCAGTAGAATCTTCTGAGAATCAGTCAAATTGATATACCTACTATATTATAAAACTTACCCTCATCAATGCCGCATGACTCATTATAAAATCATAAACAATGAACTTTCAAAACAAACTTAACATACATTATAGTTTCCATGTCTTCCATTATTCAGCATAGCACTTGCTATACGCTAGTGGATATGCAAAATATTTAACTTCCTGCTGATGTGTTAGAAGAAACACAACAGCTAGCATCCCACTAATAAAAATGGATCACATTTTCACAGCATCTATTATAAATGTTTTGATTATTTGTTTGAAATCTGATATAAATCCTAATTCTACATTTTTCAAAAATGACTACAATGACCTACAAGACTCGTCTTTAATAGCTGCAATCGATTCCAACAAGGAATATCAGGAAGATAGGTCCAAAATATCTGGCTATGTTCATGACATCATGCCCAAATACAGTGATGATATTTTCAAGCAAGCCTAGGTCAGCTGCACTGAATGATATCTGGAACTTTTTAAAAAAGATGTTGATATTGGTTGCTGTTCCTAATGAAAATATGAAACATTTGCTAGTTTTAAAACAAAATTATACTCAGTAAATAATTAATTACTTTCATTCATAAGATCTTTAACAAGCAATACTGATTTATACTAATATTATAAAGAGGTAATGTATGTATGTATGTAAGTTTGTTTGCAGCAGGTAATCTCCGAAACTACTCATCCGATTTCAAAAATTCTTTCACCAATATTTAGAATGGAACCTCAGGGTAAACATAGGCTGTATACAGTAATACCCCAAACTTACGCGATAGGTGGGACCGAGCGGTAACCGCTAAGTCGAATTCGCGTAAGTCGGGGTATAATTTCGCATATACATACATACAAATAATTTTTAATTGGGGCCGGATACGAAAGAAAACAATAATTTAAAAAAAATGTTTAATAAAATCTTAGATAATACATATGTATAACAAATTAGGCCTATATTATTTTACAATCTTTCATATTTACTTGATTATTACGCCATAATTTTAACATTGTTTCCATTTCAGCGATAATACAGTGACGTTTACGAATGATGCTTGAATTTAAAGATTGAGCATTTTTCACAGCTTCGAGAATTTTTTCTTTGCCTTTTATAATTGT